ACAAGTCGCTCCTGCATTTTTCAGATCGAAATGCATAACTACCCATTCAAAACATCGTAGAGATCGAGGGCATCAAAAGGCAGTTTTGTGTACATCTTCCTCAACTATATAAATTTGATTGTATCCTGAATACCCATCCATGAAGGAATACATTACGTGTCCGACAGTCGAGTCTACTAAAGAATCTATCGCAGGCATTGGGTATTCATCTTTGGGTGTTGCTATGTTTAGGTTCCTAAAGTCTATGCACACCCTTAATTTACCATTCTTTTTTAGTACCGACACGATATTGGACAATCACTCGACATATCTGGCTGTTCTGATAAAGTCTGCTTTTAATAATCGCTCTATTTCTTTCTTAATCTCAGGAAGTACGTTAGGAGCAAAGCGCCTAGGAGGTTGCTTATGAGGTTTAAAATTTGGCTTGGTTGGCAATCTATGTTCCACCAAAGCTCTATCTAAACCAGGCATATGTTCATATTCCCAAGCAAAACAATCCTTATATTCCTTTAGTAAAGCGATTAATTTATCAGTAACCTCTTGATCGAGCATCTGACTGACGACTGTTGGGCGATCTTCCCCTTCATTGCCAATATTCACTTTAATCTGAGGGTCTTGTGCTTGAGCGTATCCAGGCTTGGTGATCCTCATTACTTCATCGTCCCTTTCCCTTATAAGCACTTCTTCTTCTAAACAATCCACCTTGTTGACTTCTCGGCCAATACTTTGTTCCAACTTGAACACTGCCAATTTGTCTCCCAATGCTTTCAAGGCTGCTTCTTCTTTCGTCTTGTCTTTACATTCTTCATTGAAAGCCATTAATTTGGCTTTGAAGGCCTGAACATCGGCCATTTACCTTTGTTGTTTACAATTCATTTAAAACTCTTTGATTACTTTTTTGCCAATTACTAGCTCTTCTAGGGCCACTATGTTTGGCCTCATTTGACTGAATATTTCAGTGAGTGCATCTACTGAAAACGATTCTTCGCTCTGTGCGACAATTTGAGTTTCTTCTCCATCTTGGACTACTCTGACAGGTCCGTAATTTTCTTCATACATGAACCTTTCCACTGAGTTTGTTTCTGTGACAAAAGGTCTATGATCTGTTTGCATCACTTCTGCTTTGCCCTTGTCATTCCAAAAAATTAGGCATTGATGGAGTGATGAGGGTATGCAGCGACTTCCGTGTATCCAATCCCTTCCTAATAACACATTGTAACTAGTAGGACCATTTATTACGAAGAAGACTGTGGTCCTAGTAGTTGGCCCCACAGTTATGTCCAATAGCATAACTCATTTAGCTGAAGTTGCTCCTCTATTGAAACTTGTAAGGATGACTTCTGTTGGAATCATATCACTTTCTGTCTTTGCAAATTTCCTCATTATCCTAGATAGAATGGTGTTTATAGCTGCTCCATTGTCGATAAGTACTTTCGCCACAGGTATACCGTTAACTAAAGCCTTAACGTACAATAACCTCAAGTGTTTAGTTAACTTCATGGTTGGTCTCTTAAAAATTACCTTTTCGGCAGCATCTATTTCCACTTCCTGCTTGTTCTCTGTTGACTTATCGTTTTGTGATAAGTCAACGTACAGTATGTTGCACTGAGCTTCCACTTCCTGAATTTCCTTTTTATTGTTTTCTAATGCTTCTTCTTCGGTTACCCAACCTGTGGGATGAGGCAATATTCTTAGAGGTGACCTATACTTTTCAGAACGAGGTACTCTCCTTTTTCTCTTGGGTGTCCCATACAACACATAATAATCGAAAGAACGCCCAGATGGTTCTCCCAGCAAATCCACTTCTCAAACACCTTCTCTATGTAGTTGCTTCAACAGAATATTGCATAATACTCCTCTCTTTCTTCTTTCTGCTTCCAGATTAATTTCCTCTTTGATGTCCATCATTCCATCATCCTCTTCATCATTGTAGGTCCCTCTAGAAGTTTGGCCTTCTTCACATTCCAGCATACATGCTTTTTCTTCGTTATCCTCCCTTTCTTCTTCTTTCTCTTTGTTCTTGAACTCATTGGCTAGTAAACAGTTATTAGCCATGACAGGAGGTAACGTACCGAATTGAATAGTAAGGGACTGATCTGGATCTTCTTCATTCCTTTTGTCTCGCTCAAACTTCGATCTCTCAGAAGAACTCTCTGGCAATTCTTCCATCGACTCACCTGTAACAGTCTCTTCACTATCTTCGAGAACATTTTGATTGGCTACCTCGAGTAATTTAGGCGCCTTAGGACGTGGCACTCCCTGTTGTTGCCTCATCATTCGTCCATAATTCCGTTGAAAACGCCTTTGTTGGGTTCTAGTCATCTTGTTGAAAGGTATCACTCTTCTTGCATTATACTGGAATGAATGCCATACATTTGGTTGGCGAGGTTGCAGCCTGAATGTTCTCCCATTATTTATTGACCTGAACTGCCTCTCAAAAGGCGGTCCCTTATAGAATGATGTACCTCACCCTCTAACAGGCTGAGCGTTTGGGAAAAAACTAGGGCGATGGTGGTGCTGCCATATCCCTGGTTTCTCTGTATTTGCACGTACTTCTCCTTTACATCTTGCACACAGGACGTCTTCATTCTTTTTAGACTCTTTCCCTTTGATATGTTCAAAGACACTAGGGTGTGGCCCATGGTCCTCCTCTCCGTCGTCTATAACCAATTTAAATTTTGGCAACTTATTTTTGAAACCAGTCGTCATCATGTTCACCCCAAGTGGCTGTGGAAAAGGATTTTCATCCACTACCATCTTCTTCTTATCTTCGAACGTAATTCGTCCTGATTCAATGGCGTCCTACAACACATGGCGAAAAACCAAACAGTTGTTAGTCAAATGTGACCATGCATTATGCCATTTACAATATTTTTTACCCTTGATTTGTTCAGTGCTTGGCAACTTATGTTTATCGCTCAGCTGTATCTGCTTATCCTTATATAATTTATCAAATATAAGGTCAGCTTTGGTTACATCGAACGAGAACGTTCTAGCCTTTTTGTTTTCATCTTTTATAAGCTCATCTTTGACAGACGATCTAGGCTTAACCATTATAGGACAAGTATAAGCATCTCCTTTGATTAATTCGGCCAAACACATTTCGGTTTGATCGTAATACTCGTCATCAATAGTATGAACATCAAAATTTGGGTCTCTATAATAAGTTCCCTTACTAGAATTTTTCATTTGCTCTTCTTCTCTTATTAATCGTTCATACCTAATCACGTTTGCGCTCAATTGGAAAAGATCAAGAAATTCTCCGTCTTTGAATTTCTTTTTCAAATCAAAGTTTAGACAACTTTGAGCGATTTTGACAAACTCCTTTTCGGGTAAAGGTACAAAACATTTACTTCTTGCTATCTTGATCCTTTGAAGGAAACCTTCTGCCCATTCGTTTGGCATTTGACATAGATTCGCCAAATCGGCCAAAATAACTTCAGATTCAGTCTTATAGAACTGAGCATGGAACAATTGCTCCAATTGTTGTCATGTTTGGACATAGTTCGCTGGCAAATTGATGAACCAGGAGAAAGCTACTCCTGTTAATGAACTAGGGAACAACCTCATTTTATGGTAGTCGGTTACTTCACCACTTTGCAGTGTGAATCGCCCTATGTGTTCTAGAGTAGACATCTCTCCTAAACCGATAAATAATGAGAATTCTAGCACTTTATATCCTCTAGGTCATGGATATGCTTGGTCTACCCAATCAGGATATGGATTTTTGTAAGTCGGCCTGATGACGGGACGTACCCCAAAAGCCATTTGATCCTGTACTATTTCTATAATTTGATTTCTCAGCATGACTTTGGGGTCATATGGAATCTACAGGTTGGTTGATTGGTTGATTTGCCTGAGGCATGATGTTTGGTCCTTAGTTAGCAACAAAGTTGCCATGATTTGGGTCATTGTTACCATCAGCCTGAATATTTATTCCATCATTAACACGTGGGGTGTTATGTCCATTATTTAGGACATTGTCTCTTACATTTAGGTTACCCCCCAAGTTAGATGTACCATTACCACTATTTTGATTTGGCATTACACCATCCCCCTGGTTTGAAGTAGACAGACCAAAAGGTGGTTCTATCCCTTGATTTGGACTTAGGACTGGGGAATTATGTCCTAAAATTGTCCTAACTTGAAAATGACTTGCAATAGGCACAATTGGCTGACAAATTTGGCCTACTAACTTATTAATTATTTCATTTAATGTATTTAGTTGTTTGGCCATGTTGTCATAATGTGCATTACCATTCTGGGTAAATCTTTCCATATTATAAATATTTCGTAGATTTACCTGTTCAACGACATCTTATGTGAGTTCTCCAAGCAATGCACGCATGGTTCAAGGACTCAACTCTGTCATTGGTTCGTAACGACTGTGACTGTTGTCCCTCTGTTCGTGGAGAGCTTTGCTGCTTCTCATATCGCTCGATCACAAACTGTACTTCTCCCTGACTTACTGCTTCCTTATTAGATTTGTGAGGCATATTGTTTCACTTTTTATATCCTCAACACCAAACACCAACGTCCCAATGGGCATGCCAAATTGTTTCGCGCGGGTAGTCGCTAACAATTAAAAAAGGGGTTAGACGATTGTGTAAGGAATAGACCTCTTGAAATAAAGTCTCAAAAAGGGGTATTTTATTGGCGATGATTTACAATTGAAAATAAACAGAATGCCTCCAATGAGTGCAAGCATACGAGTATTAAAAGAAATGTTTAAATTTAAGGTAAGAAATTAAAATTACATATTCTCTGTTTGAGAGTATTTGATTCGGGGTCCTCTATTCTAATTCTTCTCTTCCTTTTTATATTCCCTTGCTGACTTCCTCGTGACAAACCGCTTGGAAACTGCTTGATTGTTTTATAACTACCCACTTTCTTTATGTTGGCTAACTTGTCGTGGAACTACCGTCTCTAACTGATGCTATTACTCTTTGTCGTTCAACCACCTTCAACTGGGCTCCTTGAATCGTGGAATGTGATAAGATTACTCAATAACTGCTTTAATAACTGCTATTCTGGATAATCATAATATTTTATGTTTGCTAAGATCCTGAGCGATTTGAAGGTTTGGGAGAGAACGAGGCCATCGCTCTGGGCGACCGTAAGGCATTCCATTCGCTCAGATTCTGAGCGTTTTATAAGCTTGGGCGATGATGTCACTGTAGTCGTGGGCTTCCACTGCATTTATCAATAATTCTGTTTGGATCTTTATCCTGGACTCCCCAATTGGACTTCACTCTCTGGACTATTTGATTTGGGCCGCATTTTCAGTGTGTCAACAAGTGCATTGGCTACAAGTATGAAACCAAAATCAAACCATACCAAAAGTAATTAAAAGGAGTAAATTTACCTAACACCAATCAATTTTAGCATATGATGATACGCAACAACCCAAAATCTCGAAATAAACAAGAAACCATTTTTGCATAAACCTGAAAAAAAAAAAGATATTGATCGAAGTTAAGAACAAGGAATGGCTAATTGAGATTGTTTGAAAGAACAAACCATTTCAACCTAAATCCAAAAGAAGTTGAGCATCACCCGCTCAAAATATGTGTTATTAGATCATATGACAAGTTTTCACCTCTATTACGAAGCTTGTGACTTAGGATGCTTGGTGTACAAAAGCGCAGAACAGAGATAAAACACAACCATTCTGTGCCGTATGCTAATCATTAGATGAAAATGATTAATGATGCTCAAATTCAAGTTATCATATAAAAAATTTCAGCTAACAACTTATGAAACAATGCAAATATCCACCAAGATTAAATAGAAATAGTACCAAAATAACTTAAACTTTGATTGCGTATTTTCTCGTAGGGAAGTACATCAATTTCTTTTTCTCCCTTTCAGTCCGAAGGATGCCTACAGAAAAAAGATCAAAAAGTCAAAATTAACAACGTTGATTACAAAAAATTAGATCCTAGTATACCATTTGCATGGAAAAGGGGGAAAAATCCAAATCAGAATGCTGTAGCCTCAATGCTCGAAAGACAGGTTTTAATGTGATAGTTTGAAAAGAGCCAATGCGATAGTTGTGTTAGAGAGGATAAGGAAAACCAAGTGAGATCTTGCATTTTGAATCTAACGGTTGCTAAACTCAATGAACATGTATCTAACTATGAATAATAGCCTTTGAAGATATTTCTGGACATTCATTTACAGTTAAAAAAGTCCATGGAATTGCAGTATTACAGTTGAAACTAGAAAAAAGTGAACATCATTGCAATAATGGAATTATTCAAGGATATATTGAATCCCAATACACATTTATAGATTCCCGTTTGCACACACGACCACCACCCCAAACACAAACAAAAATAGTATAAATAATACATCAAAAAAGAACTGGGGAGCAGACTGAAATACTATAGCTCATAACTTGAAGATAAGACCTACGTTAGCTGATTTGGATTTGGAAGCACATCAAAAGTCATACCCAACATCTATAAAACAAGTACAATCAGATTTTACTACCAGGGTTTTATATTAGAAGATTAAAATGCACATTCTTGTATTCCCATAAATCACTCCACTATAGTTACAATATTCACAATTTACAAGGACAATGATTCTTACTTCATAGTAAACCAAGCAAATATAGATTATAGTACGTAACAAAGTTATTGGAGATAGAAACTCATTCACTTCAATTCAGCTGCTATGTTGCTACACACACTGCAAAATGCAAACCAGAGAAAGATGAGGATAGGCTAAATAAGGACGACTCAAATCGTAAATGTTCCAACCTATGGGATCTAAGGATGATATGAAAGAGAGAGAGAGAGAGAGAGAGAGAGCAAATAACAAAATTCAAGCAAAAGTTCCTAGATTCATGGAGACATAAAACAGTATATAAGTAATCATGCTTGAATATCCATCATCTAAATCTCCTACAATTATCCCAATAATTTGATCGAAACTGTTAATTTTAGACAGTTCAATTGTTTATTTCCTTTTGACACATGATTTACAATGCTAGATACATTTTCCTACCAGCTAAGCTAATAACAACAAACACTTAAAGTGCAAACTAGAAAGGAGGAGAAGATACAAATGGACAGAAATGGGCGAGTTTAGGCCAACTAAATTTTAGAGAAACTGTTAATTTTGGGATATTCAATCGTTGACTTCCTCTTGCTACATGATTTGCAATGCCAAATATACTCTACCAGCTAAGGTAATAATAAACACTTAAACACCGAAAAGGGTGAGTTTAGGCTAACTAAACATTACAGAATACCTGTTATTTTCAGGATATTCAATTGTTTATTTCCTATTGACACATGATCTATAATGCCAACTGTACTCCACCAGATAAGCTAATAACAATAAACACTTAAAACTCATAAGAACAAACAAGAAACCCAACATTATAGAAAAAATTGAACAAATGCGCACCAGAATAACTAATAATAACTAGATACCTGATGCTTGGTGAGGCACCTGCGAATGGCACGAGTCTTCTTGGGTGTCATGGCTAACTTCACTCAAGTGGACCATTTATCTTTTATTTTATCTAGTTGGGCTTGTGTTATTAGTGGGCTAGCCCAAAGTCCTTTACTTTAAGGGTTGTTCTATATATAATTTTGTTGGAAGATGATGAAGGGCATGAATTGAATTGAATCAAGTCTTGTTGCTGCTAACTCTCCTCTATCCGTCTCCTCTTCCTCTGGTTTCCGCCTCTTCTTGTCCGTTTCTCCTGTTTCTTCTTCTCCTCCTCCTCTTCTTCTACTGTTTCTACTCTTCTTTTGCTATTTCCTCTCTATATCCCTATATCTCATCTTGTTTTCAGCTTTCTCTTTATCTCTCTATCCTTTTTCTTCAAGGTCTGGAATTTCTTCTCCTCTCCTCTTTTTCTATGTCTGCCCCTCTTTTTTACCTCCATCATTGCTGAATCTGCTTCTCTTTTTCCTCTGATTCTGACCTCCACTTCCATGGTTCTTTTTTTCTTCTTCATGGTTAGGTGTCACAATTCCTAAGCTCTTTTCTGAATTTGTCTTCACTCCTCTGTCTCTACTTCTCAACTGATATAGCTCATCTCTTTCATATATGTCCTTTACTTGTAATTTCCTGCATGGTAATAGAATCATCAATTAAGGAAATGAATGTGTTTATAGCTACTTGTTATTGGTTGACTTCTATAGAAATTGAGTTTCAACCATTATTGGACCCGGAAGGATTGTAGTAAATGAGATTAACGATGCGATATGAATTAATGAAGATCACAACGAGAAACAAGATTTAAAAGTAAAAAAAATTAACAAAGAGAGTTAATAGCAGAAGCACGATGTTTTACTAATTGACAATATGGTGAAAAATACAAGAACTAAACAATTCTTGCTTAAACAAAATTGAAAGAGAAGACCATTGTTTATAGATACATGACATAGCATAAAGATGAAATTAATGTGGGATAAGAAAATAATATGTTTCCATAAAAATCACGTGAAAGATAAGAAAATATTTTTTTCCATATGAAAATAAGGAAACAATTTATTTCTAAAAAAATCCACCCTAATTTGGGTCACAAACCCAACAATCTCCACTTTGACCCAAATTTCGATGCAACGAACGAAACTCCAAGATTTCAAATTCATCTGTAGCGAAATAGCCAATTTCCTCAACACAGTAACCAAAACTCTCCAAACCAAATCGTTGTTCTCTACAAGGCGTCCACAAGTGATACCTGAACCCAAATCTCAGGTTACCGAAATTTCACTAAGGAATTACTGTTGACCAAATAGGGTTGAAGCACACCCTATAGCAGAAACCATACCAAATGCTTGATCAAAAGGTCCCTTACTAGAATTGTCACCTTCAACGACCCGAAAGCATTATAGACATTACTAACACCACCATACTTACCATACTAAAAAATATGGCTTTAGGCACGAATTTTCCCTTTCTAAAACTTTGATATCCGTTGCTATTACTCTTTACCAAAGGAATATTTGGAATGCAAATTCGTTGCTAATTTGAGGGTCACTGATAGTTACCAACTAATCCTGCTGTAGATAAAGAGTAAACATTTTACCAATGAATTTTTCGATGGTAAAGTGTGAATCTTTTACTAACGAAATTTTCGTTGGTAAAAATATCAACTAATACCAACCGACTTTCCGTTGGTAAATATCTACCACTACAATTAGTAAAAATCAATGGTGTAAATAGTCACATAGATGTGAGGCATGGTAAAAAAAATTATTTATTTATTTATTATTGTTATTATTATTTATTTAATAATTCTAATTTTTTTAACTTTTAGGCAACCGAATTGAAAGATCAAAATATTATTTAACCACTTATTGGACCACAAATTAATTTATAGAGGACAACTCCGAAGACTTTATTGTGAACTTTCAATGTGGGATAAGTAAATTATTTTTACCAATGGATAATCTATTTCTAATCACCAGCGGAATATCCGTAGGTGAAATGTCCAAATGTTAAACGATTACATGAGGCACGAGATATCCCTTGATAAAGAGATATTATCGTTATCAATGCTAATTATTGTAATTGAAAGTGAATTACTTTTACCAATGGATAATCCGTTGGAAATAATCGTTACATCACCAACGAATATTCCGTTGGTGAAATATCCAAATGTTAAATAGTTATATGAGGCACGAAATATCTATTGATAAAAAGATATCATCGTTACCAATGAAATATTCGTTGCTAATTATCGTAATTAAAAGTGAGTAACTTTTACCAACGGATAATCCATTTTAATTATCAACAGATGCAATTCGTTGGTAATTTTTTGTTGGTGAAAAGCTGCTTTTTAGTAGTGTACGCTCCATGAATCCAATCCTAACAACTGAATACAATGTATTTGCTGAAATTGGTGGCAAAGTGGAATCATCAATGCTCCATCTAGTAGTGTTCTTAACCAACTCAAAGCACGCCATAAGAGGTACTATATCAAACTGTATATCCACCACGGTACTGAACTTGTCCAAATGTCTCTTAATTGGCTCTGTGCTCCCCTGCAAAATGTACAATTGAGACCTTCTCCGTCCCTCAAGTACAATCTGGACACCCCTTTGGACCCTAAGGACTCTACCTTCACTAGAGAACTTATACCCTTCATCCAAGGCTCTCAGCGAGATGAGATTCCTCTTCAGATTTGGAATATGTCGAACCTACATAATTGTTCTGACCTTTCCATCCTGCAACCTTACTCTGACTCAACCGATCCAGTAATATGGCAAGACTGGTTGTTTCCCATTACAACTCCACCTTACTCAACAGTCACATACGTCTTAAACAAATTTCGATTGGAATACATATAATACGAACTTGCTGATTGAAAATCCACTCCTCGTCAGACTTAGACTCCATCTCAAAAACCACGGTCAACATAACATCTCCACCTTCCGAAAAATTCTCGACAACATTAGTCACATCCGAATTACATAATTTTCCTCTATAATTTGTAGCTAAATTACCTTTATCTTGCAACGTATCACAATCCTTCTTTACGTGTCCTCTCCTTTGGTAATAGAAGCAACACAAATTGTTGTTCTCTCTCAATCTGCCCCTTCGTCGACCACCATGAGTACAAGAGCTTCCTCATTCCTTGATGTAGCTCCAACTAAATGCTTCAACTTTTCATTTGAGTGCAAAGCATCATAGAAGTCGTCTATAATCAAAGTATCTCGATTGTACAAATGGTTTCTCGAAACAATGCATATAAGGCAAGTAATGAACATAACATGATCAAGGCAAGATTCTTTTCATTGTACTTAACCTCCAACGTTTCCAAATCTGCAACAATTTCCTTGAACACGGCAATATGGTCTTCCAACGACCCTTCCTCCGCTATGCGATGGGAATACAGCTTTTGCTTTAGAGCCAGTTTACTGGTAAAACTCTTGATCATACATAACTGCTCTAGTTTCAACCACAAAGCAGTTGCTATTTTCTCCTTCAGGACACTCTGCAGAATATTGTTGGATAGATAAAGATGAATAAACGACAAAGCCTTTTGATCTCTCCGTTGTCCAATTAGCTGGCATTCTCTCAAAACCCAACAACACATCATTCAAATTTAACAGCGCCAAAATAGCTCTCATATTTACTTGCCACAAAGAAAACCTTGTATTTCAATCTAATTGCAGAAATCACATTTCAAAGCAGCCATCTTTGAAAAGCCTCAACAAATCCACAACAAGAACCAAACTCCAATATAACTTGTTGGACTCGAAAAGATTGTAGTGAATGAGATTAAAGATGCGATATGAAGTAACGAAGATCGCAAAGAGAAATAAGATTTAAAAGTAAAGAAATTAACAAAAAGAGACGTTTTATTAATCGACAGTATGTAGTGAAATATAAAAACTCAACAATTCTTGCTTGAACAAAACTAAAAAAGAAGTCTACTATTTATAGGTATATGACATATCATAAAGATAAAAATAATGTGGAATAACAAAATAATGTGTTTCCATAAAAATCAAACAATTTTTCCCACATGAAAATGAAAATAAGAAAACAATTTATTTCCAGAAAAATTCACTCTAATTTGAGTCACAAACCCAGCAACAATAACATTAGGGTGGAGATCAAGAGGCAAATACTTCTTGTTCTTGTACGCTTCCCTTAGAGCCGCCTTCAGCTTCTGAGAATTCACAGTCAACACCTGAACAATGGAGAGCCTAACCACCTTAATCTTCGACAGCTTGTTGGCTGCCCAACAATGGCTTTGGCTACTCTAAACAATGCTAATTCCGCCTTCAAATCCCTTAGCTGCGCCAACAGATCCGCCTCGTTCTTCTGCCTCAACTCGTGCACTTTAATACGAGCTATAAAAACTCACATCAAAGAAGGTCAATTCATTTGAAATAAATTGTGGGTTTTACATAAAATGAAAAATTAAGAATATTATTTCGCATTTCTTCGTACCCATTTCGTGTTTTCCGTTCTAGGTCCTCTCTCTAGATGAGAATGAAAGGTCAGAAAATTTGAATTGCAAACATGGGTTTCTGCCTAGAGTCTAAACTTCCCTATTTTGGGCCCATATTGGATATCAAATTTAAGGGTATACATTGGGCTGAATTTAAGCCTGTGATGCCCAGCACAATTTGAGACTTATTTGATATGAAGGACATCTAAAATTCTCACATACATCAACGCCTTTGATGGTAAGTCCAAATTTACTTTTTCTCCTAAATTAGTTCCGATTGCTAATGATATCAAAATTGGTCAGATTACTCAAGTACAGTATGACCCATCTGGTTAAAATATTAAGAATTAGTTTGGTTTGTTAGAATTTTTTTGGCCAATTTAATTGATATCCTCTCACGTGAGCGTGAATTCTGCATAAATAAAAAAGCCCAAAAAAATGGGGCCCTCCATTATGAATATCGATCAGATTGTATGTCAATCATTTTCTGACAACGTAATATGATCAGAATATTAAATAGAAATAGCTCGGCCAGACTCACAAGTTGGCCACCAGGATAAGGATGAGGAGTGACATAGTTGGCTTGAATACTTAAAAACTTAAAAGCTGAAAGTAAATTAAAAGAGCACTAAAGCTCCCTTTCATTCCCAACCCGATGGTTGTTTCTAAACTTTAACGAGTTTATATTTTTTCAAAATCATATTTTACAATATAAATACTTAGGCCCTGTTCTTTTTACTGTTTTGAACCAATTTTTTGTTTTCGATTTTCGAAAACGGCGAAAATGCGTTCTCTTTCCCGTTTTCGAAAATAAATTTCCAAAAACAAAAAAAAAAATTTGTACAAAAAACGCAAAACAGCAAAATCGTCGTTTTGAACGTTTTCTTCCCAAAATGCCAAAATCCTTCAAAATGCGGAAAACGGCAAGGCAAAAGCCAAAAAAGGAATCATCCAGGCTGTCTCTCTACCTTCTTTCGTCTTTGTTCCTGCTGTCTCTTCCTTTTCTCTTCTCGTCGGCTTCTCTCTTCTCAATGTCGGTGACCCATTCAAACACTGTAAACGACGACGAAGGAGTCACACCGGTTCTGGCTATGGTTTGGGAGGCGATGCTGCGTTCATCGCGATCCATTCATCGCAACACTGCTGTGGTTTGGGCCAACTCCATCTCCTCTCTCTTCGACACTAGCTGTGGTTTGGAGAGGTGAAGTTCGTAGCATCGCGAAGCTGCAATTTGCCCTCTTTTGGATCGCTAGCTTTTTGGGGTTTCTTTTTGTTTTTTTTTATCTAGCGACAATGGGTGTTGATTGTGATGGTGGTGGGCAGGCGGTAGTGGTATGTTTGTGGAGGTGGAGGTCGATAATGGTGATGTGGTGCAGTGGATGATGTTGATTTTGGCAGTGGTTGATTTTGGTGAATTGATTTGCGACTGCTGCAAGTCTCCTTCCTTCCTCTGTGTCCCGGTCTTCTTCACTCTTCGTCTGTGGTTCTTCTTTCTTCTTTGTTTTTTGTGTTGGTAATGGTAGTGGTTGATGTTTCATGATGGTGGTGGAGTTGATTTTGGTGGCGGCAGTGGTTGATCTTAGTTGATAGTTCATGGTGATGGTGGTGGTGTTGATTTTGGCAGTGGTTGATGGTGGTGGTGGTGGTCAACGATGATGATTTTCGTCAGTGGCCATGGTGATTGGTGCGGCAACGGTGGTTGTGTTGTTTTTGGTTGGCAGTGGATTGGAGGTCGTGGCGACGACTTTGTGGTGGTGTTGTGGTGGTTTCTTGAGTAAAATAGCATAAAAAACATTATCAAAATTTCAAAGTAAATGGGTTTTTCATTTTTATATTTTCAGAAACGATTATGCAGAATGACAAAAAGAACATATTTTTCAACAATATCAAAACAGACACTGAAAACACAAAATTCAAAATGAATTCAAAACTCAAAATTGCAAAACTGAAACACGAAGAGAACAATCCCTTAATTTTCTTCTATGTTTTTCTATACGATCTCACACATCACTCTCTCTCTCTCTCTCTCTCTCTCTAGAATTTAATTGCATGAAATTCTTTAAAAAACAAAAAGAAGAATTAAATTGATAAGTTGAATCGGCCTAACCATCAATATTGGCAGGTTCATGGTGCAGTCCGACCCAAAAGATGGACCAAACCTAACTTGAACCGTAATTTTAGATTGACTAGTTAAAACTCACCAACTCCTCTTTAAAGTCTATTTCTTAGAAGCTTTATTGACAAGTCGTGTAAACGTAACATTAAAACTTGAAAAGGGCTTTTTTTTTCTTTATATATATATATATATATATATAGGGTTCGTGTATTTTTTTAGTTTATAGTGATTTTACTCAGCCGTCCGACTACACTCAACTGAATAAAGTCTACGTGTTACCATTGAAGAAGTTAAATGGGGAAATTCATTGGCTCGAATTAGTTTGAAAACAATGAAACCCAGACTTAATTTTCTCTTTTGTTTGAGATATGCTAACAAATCAAATTAACCAAACTAGACGGTTATGCCCATGCAAGTGTGCAAGCACAAAACATAAAAAACCAAGCCTGCCATTGCGATCCAGACAAGCAGCTTGTATTTTCTAAAAATGGACTTGAGTAACTATTCAACTTTTATGATTGATGGTTTAGTGGAAAAACCAGCATGCTTTCAACGAAGACTGTAATTATTATGCTTTACAATGCCTAAATAATATTGGGAAAAGATGCTATGTTGCCAAGTTCATTGTTGACAATAAAATTATGATCAACAAATTCCTCTCATCTAATTAGGACTTTTTCCTCCTAAATTCACTATTTAGGAGAGAGAGAGAGATTAGAATTTGCATGTTTTTATCTTTTCAGGTGGGAGTATTTATAAATTTTCTTCAAGGCTTTGGGGACAATTAGTCATTCTAGAGGATAACTGGTGGCAGTTTTTTAGTAGTGCATTGATAACTGACAATTTATCTATGTACATTTTAATAATAGTTTTTCTAGCCATTGGGAGGAGTGGTTCACCCTTCCTCTTTTGTGAACCTTTTGATTACCATCGTGTGCGCGCACGCGTACACACACATATATATGGATGCAGGCGCGAATCCAGCACCTGGCGAGCCATTGCAGCCGCTCGTGCTGGATCCGCCGGAGCCTTCAATAGTCATCGAGACCGTCGGGTAGAAGTTGCAGCGGAAATCTGAGAGGTTGCTTTTTGTCTAATCGCACTTGTTTTTGTTGAATTATTGATTTGTTTTCCTGTTTTGTTGATTATTGATTTTGGATAATGATTTAAGGGGTACGGCATTGATGGAAGATGGGATGGTTGCAGGGCGACAATGGCAACATTTGGTGGATGCGAGCATTGAATTTGGGGATGAGTAACTGAGAAAGAAGAAGATAAATGAGAATTTTGGGTTTTTGGGCCCTTTTGTTTGGATAGAGAGTTGGGCCTATTAAAAAAAATGTTTGGCCCAACCAATTTGGAGATGGATAAATAACCTAGCAACCCCAAACAGGCAAACAAACCCTTCTGCATTCTCCATTTCTTATACCTAGTTGCTGTTGTCGTTGTCGTTGGTTGGAATTGGTTACGAAGATAAATGTTAAGTTGGACTGGATTTGACAAATGGATAAGCTTTCTTCGTTATTTCTAGTTACCGATGCACTTTCTGTGTCTTTTCCTTTATTTTTTCATAAATTTTTGGACTATTCTTCCTTATTTCTTGTGAAGTTTACATGCTTTATTTTTGGGCACATATTTCAAATTCAGTTCTTCTAGTGAATGTTGTAAAGCTTGTAAAGCCATGTGTGCTGGAAATGATGGGTTTTGTCTTTGTGATACCTGGGTTTTTTTGTGGGAACAAATTCGGTGAGGTTAGTTGGAATTTCTTTCTTTTTTGTTTTAATTTATGTCTATAATTTTTTATGTACTTGATTGGTAGAGGATAGATATGGCTATGTGTCAAATAAACTTGATTTCTTTGACCGTTTATGTTGGTTGTAGAATTTGGAAAACTTAGTTGTATAATATAGTGATGGAGAAATTACAATTTTATGAAAAGAAAATTGTAATTATAGTTGAGAGCCAAATATGTAGATAGTAAGCATGACATTGATGTAAATTCAAGTTCTACACGACTAGAACATTCAAAAAAACAGGTTTAATAGAAATCTCAAGACCTGCTTTCTATGATTAATTAGCCAACTAAAAATTGTGATTCTGTGAAGTTAAAATTAATGTGCACTATATATTGAGCTCAAAGCTCTATTCTAATTACATGTTTCTTTGACTAATAAGAAACTTTTAGCAAGGAAATAGGAGAATTGTTGTTTAGTGCATGTATAATTTTTACATTTTGATGCATTTACATGAAAGTTGAAGGATTTTTAACATTATTTAATTAAATATTAATAAATAAACTTGCAACGGTCAAATGTAAATGGTCAATAGTCCGCCCTATGGTCAACGGTCCGCCCTAGTTGACATTGGACTCTGGATTTGCCCCTAATGTATGTATGTATGTATGTATGTATGTATGTATTATTATTATTATTATTTTTCTTTTTTTTCCCCCACATGTGTCGGGGGATCACTTATGGTGAAAAGGTTATGGACTTAGCTGGCTACTGCACCATGAACTATCAATCAGTCACTTTCAATTTCTTCAATTTTGATTTCACCAAAATGTTTCGATGTATCCCTCATCCTAAAGTGGGACTTCGCTCATATTCTTGCTCCCATCAATGCGAAGGAATTTATCTCTATTAGTCATTGTCTTGTCACACAGTCCTCAATAGCAATCAAAGCCCCTATAACATATAAATATATATATGCTTGGACTTGGGGACTAACTTGTCACGACTCGTCACTACGAGAAAACTATCTAATTCGTTAGATGTCACCTCATAATGAGTGTCACTGCCACACAATCTTACATATCGCCAATAATAGAAAATCACACGCAATCACTTCATCACTTCTCCATGCACAGTCATCAGATAGTGAACATCGACCATTGTATTGCTTCAGTTAAGTTGAACTTCAAAAGCATTCTTT